ATGTGGGCGTATACTGCCTGGCAGCCGCTGGTTTATATATACATTTCACCGATATGGTTACTTGTAAAGGTAATTTCTCCCTTCAATATGCTTACATTCATACTTCATGTAGTAGTATTACACAATGTTTTGGGATATATTCCTCCTTATTGCTAGTTTTCATTTTTGAGTGAAGTCTGTAACACAACATGACGGGGACTGTACAGCGCAGTGGACGCGTACGGTTATCCCCCGGATACATTCACTTGATCTAATGTGTACGTTTGTGATTTCTGCGTATTGTGTATTGTCCTTGGATTTGTCTTGTGTACTTGTTGGTGGCACAGTCCCCCTGCACTTGGCATCAGATCTTTGATTCTCGTATATTTAAATTAATAGTCATTTCACCATGAATCCAAACCACCCATCTTTCAGTTCTTTTACCATTTCTTCCAGATCTTTAATCACCTAAAAAAAAATCAATTTTTATAAATATGTAACATATCGTCCGTGGGGAGTCAAAAGATTGTATCTGGGTTTTGCGAAATTGTTGGGGGGGGGGGGGGTGCCTTCGAGTCAAGAAAAGAGTTTGTAAGTGTTTCTCTATCCATTATATTTAACAAGCTGCCATGTAACTGTTCTTGAACGTCTTTGCTTTCAATCCTTAATCTTTTCTTAATGGTTCTTCATTCCTTTTCTAATCTACTATTTTTTACCCTGATATCTTTTAAAGGCTCAATACCACTCTTGTTGTAACAGAATAATATGTCCTAATCTTTATTCTGGTCAACAAATTGTACTATTTTACAATATTCCAATTAATTGATGATACAAATTTCATCTTAACACACCTAATTTAAAAAATTGGAAAAATTCAACTAAATGATCTGAAAAGCCTAACGTAAACCTTTTCAAATGTGAGTTGGATTTAAAAATATTTTCGAACCCTCTGGACAAGTAAAATAGGATGAAATGGATAATTTACACAACAGGTAGGACACTTAAACATCTAATACTTAGAATAAGGCTGATATTTATTTACTGGAGCTGTCAAGCCAGCGAGAGTGTTATTGTCCCTTTAAGGCTTTTGATAATTTTTCTTTCGAAGTTTTTGCTAAAGGTGTCTTCTTGTTTAAATTGACTGTTCTTTTTCTGGCAATGTCTAATCAGATACATTTACTAGGTCTTTTAAAATACACCCATGCACGGTTTTAGCATGGACATCTTCTTCATTATTCTGTTTAGATCTTCTGGTTTTCTGAAGATAGATTGTTCGTTTTAAGATTCATACCTTCTATCCATAGCTGATACTCCATATCATCATTTATTTTCGAACAATGTTGTTACATTACCGTGAAAAGTTGGGCTTCTGATATCCAATAGTTAAGGACTCACGCTGGGTAAGACGCTGGCTTGCTAGCCTGGAGGTCGCGTGTTCGATCACTGCTTTGGCCGAGAAAGTTCATCTGGATTTTCCGACGTGGTTCCCCCTGCCACAACTGCGCTTTCTGCTGACGTTCTTACCATTGCTGTCTAGTCCTATTTCAGGATTTTATATGGAGGGTAAATGACGATATGGGTGGCAGTGACCCAATATCCAATCCCGGTTGAAAATATGGTTCATCTCCAGCCGAAAGCCCTCGGTTGGTGGACGTTGCATAAGGCCCGTTGGTTTCCTTTACAACCTCGGGTCTCTTCCGAGTTTGACACAAATGGGTTAGATGATGCAGATGGTCCCATGACCTTATTCGCTTCAGATCTTTAAGATGTAGTTGGTTAGACGATTCCAAGAACCACGAATGAGTCTAAATGTTTCCATAAACAATAGTATAAATGTTAAGGAATCTGAAGCATAAGTGGGCCAGGAGCGGTTATCTCCCTTAGCACAGAAATTTGTTGCATTTCCTCAAAGCTTAGATACGTTCCATGATTTGAACAGCCTATGGATTTTATTACAAGTTGTCTAAATAGTATACTGGACTTTTTCCAACAAGTTACTATATTAAATCAAGGCTAACCCATCCATGGGGCATATCACGGCATTTGAGATGGCAAGAGTGAATGCTCATAGAACCATACGTCAAGCAAACAAGTCTTCGTGGCATGGCCGGGACTCAAAGAATATTGTACGTAGTTGGATGCTTAGCTGTAGAATGGGAGATAACTCTGTTTATGTCAGACTAGTAATTCTCTCCCATTTGACTTCACTTGTCAGTAAAAAAAATTGACAGTAAACAAGTCTTCGTGGCACGGCCAGGCCTCAAAGAATATTATACATATCTATGGAGCATATTGCGGCATTTCAGATGGAACGAGTTACGACTCTTAGAAGTCAAGCAAACAGTCTTCGTGGCACGACCAGGTCTCAAAGAATATTATACGTATCTATGGAGCATATTGCGGCATTTCAGATGGCACGAGTGAAGCAAAGCTGTCTTTAGGTCACTGTTAGGTCTCAAGGATCAATTTTAACTTAATTTCGAGCCGCGTGGTGACGATTGTTACAGTGATCATTTTACAGTTGCCGAGCTTTGTGAATCGCTTAAGCGAGCTCGTGATGATATAGGATTTGAAACGATACACCTTTTCCTACACTTTAAATTTTATTGGATCTTTGGTTGATGGGAATCCCACCCCTAAATGTATTCCTAAGTTTTTGTTTGGGTTGATCGTTTTGTATCATAGAGAAATATCTGACAAGGTCTTGCTCCACGACAAGCATGGGGTTCACCATGGTAATCTTGAGCTAAACAAACTGGCAGTAGCATACAGTTTTTCGACAAGGAACTGGACACATACCGCTACTCCTCTTGATGTTATTGGGGGACCAGCGCTCTTTGAAAAAAAGTCTTAGGCTTCAAAAATACATGTAAGAATTATATTATACTCGGATGGCTGGTTCCTTGGACATGACCTGATGTCACAATATGGCTGTGATGACATCATACCCGATTCCTGGTGTGTAATGCGCGAGTACTGGCTAAAATAATTCAACGTATTGAGGTCAATTGAGGAAATATCTGCCAAGCGGGTCAAGAAAAGAAAAATGTAATAATCTGTTAAATGTTTTAAATATTTTGATTTATTGGACAATTTGGTAATTAGTCAATCTAATTAAAATATAGATCTATATTTCGTTTCGTTTTTTATACTTTCGATGGCCTACACTACATGTAGATCTAACAAGCTATAGTGGGAGTTAACGTTCTATAACATTTGACCCGATTAACCGATTAGCGACCGCCATGTATTTTTTATCTACTTTTGCTTTGTTTTGATTTCTATTGCCGCTAATGTCTACCCACAGTTCGGCGCAAAAAAGGTCAAACGCTCGATTTGACAGACCATTTGATTGGCTGACCCCTCATTTCAAGCAGAACACTAGTTAAAGTAGCTAAGTCTCTTAACTCAATATCATCCAAAGTCTTACACGTTGAAAATACGAATTATTTGTCAATTCAAATCAACATTGATGTTGTGATCTTACCAGGAAAAGGTAGGCTTCTGATATCCAATATTTAAGACAAATTAAACATTTTACCATTAGTACACGAATCGTGTACTATAGTGCGTTTTACCGTCATTTGCAACAAGTGACCAGAAAGAACGAGGCTAGATATATTCAACTGGAGAGCCCGTTCAATAGACTGGAATAACCAGACGCTAGAAATGTCTATAGGGTTGAGACACATGCCTTATTTCGCTGGACATAACTGATTTGAAATAAAGAGTCAAAACGGAAACAATTGAATGTAAATCAGTTTATATACAATCAGATTACATTATTATATGCTTTGCGACCCATTTGGGTCAATTTCTAGGTCCAAGTGTAGTAAAGAAGAGTAAAATCGAAATTTTGAACTATAAATACGAAACGAAATTGGATCTGTGTTTTAATCAGATTGGTAATTAGTTCGTGATTCGTGGACTTTAAACCCCAGGGTGACACGTTCTCGTAAAGGGCATTCGTATTTGCTGTCGAAAACCGATAAGTATGTACAATCAAGGTTCGTTCATTTTTAGAGAGATTAATGTGTAGCCTACATAAATCAAAAGGCCTTCTATCAGTCCATTACTTCACTCGTTTCTATACCCACATTATAATATTTGGAGCTTTAATTGTAGAATGGGAGATAACTCTGTTTATGTCTGTATATGGGATTAGACTAGTAATTCTCTTCCATTTGACTTTAATGTTAAGTAGCAGTAGCCCAAAATGGGATAGGGAAATATTATAGCTGATATGACATTAGCCCACGGGAGATGGATAAATTCCATAAAGTTTCGGACAAAATTCCGGAACTTCCAGAAGGTATGATATCACACAAAGGATGGGAAATTCCAGAAGGTATTACAGCATCCAGCAGGCAATGGGGGAAATTCCAGAGGGGTGTTCTCATCCAGCTCAAAATATTGATTAAGGGGATTAAGGGTTTAGGGTTGGGGGATTATGATCTGTAGCTGAAATGTGTTCACCTAATAAGATACGGATTAACCGTTTAATAAGTGTCATGTGAAGTGATTTTTTACAAAGTAATGAATCAATTTGGTTCAATTAAATCACGTAGAGGGCTGGCACAGCAAATTAAATAAGCTTGTTGGCCATCCGCATCCGAATATCTATAAACTTGTTACTGTGATGAAAAGAGAGCAGACGCTGACTGAAATAAGAATTGTACAGCTCAGTGCTAACGGCATTTCCAGGCCAAAGAAGAAAGCCTACCGTGAACTAGAAGAGAGATTTCAAGCATTGAAAGATCAGTTCCGAAATGGTCAAAGAGACATCATGCTTTATGTAGATGCGGTATCTCATCTTGTCGATTTAGAGTAAAAAGTATGAAATATTTACTTGCCCATATGAAATATATATTTTTAATGTTGATGCTCATTTCATAGTGCTATTTAGTTATTTATTTTTTATATTAAGTTTTTCCATTTACATTAAAAGTGTTAAAATAAACATGTTTTACTATAATAAATGTTGAATAAAATATTATCAAGTGATTTTGTTTTACTATTAGGTTTAACCTAATGAAATAAACAGTGCCCAATGTGAAACAGACTACAGCTAATCCTTCTTTAGAAATTCCAGTTAACACCTTAGTCACGCTAACATGATTATTTAAGTTTTGAGCTGGGTGAAAATGAACCATTCCAGATGACATACTAGCAGACAAAAAATCCTGGCAACGAGCCTACAATTATGCAATTATACTGTATTCAATTATACCGTGTAGATGGTATCAGCAGAAAACTGAATATTATAATCTCTGCTGACATTTCAACTTTCACGATTTGACTTTTATAATAATAATTTTAAAATGTATATATCCAAAGTTTGTACATCAATCAATTGGATTAAATTATACCGAACAAAAAGATCTTTTGAACTTTAACATAAAGATAAATGCTCAATTACCTTCAACAGATAAGCAGACAGTTCAAGTTGAGTTGAACTAGTTTAATCAAATAAAATCAGACAAAATTGATTCACAAGATATCGTGCATTTATAATACTAATTATTTATCGTCTGCAAGATGCACGTTGTTTAAACTTTAATATAATGATAAATGCTCAATTACTTTCAACAGATAAGCAGACAGTTCAAGTTGAGTTGAACTAATTTAATCAAATAAAATCAGAAAAAAATGATTCACATTGTTCCGTGCATTTATAATACTAATTATTTATCGTCTGCAAGATGCACACTGTTTAAACTTTAATATAATGATAAATGCTCAATTACTTTCAACAGATAAGCAGACAGTTCAAGTTGAGTTGAACTAGTTTAATCAAATAAAATCAGACAAAACTGATTCACATTGTTTCGTGTATTTATAATACTAATTCGTGATCGTCTGCAAGATGCGCAATGTTAGGATTTGGATAACGAGAGAGAGGAATGGGGCTTAACGTCTACTCGACACAAACCCTGTCATTACGGGACTCATATGGTTCAATTTCATTTCAATAATTTGCTTTCACGTAGGGTTCTTTAACAGTTGGAGGGCCCGGAGTAACCCACGCGGTTCGACAGGTGACCCTATTCCTTGTTACGTATAGTCTGGGAATCTAAACAACGCCAGAGGACTCAATGGCAGACCTTATGATACAACGCTCACGCGCTAACCATTCGGTCCCCACCCCCGATTTAGATAAAAGAGTTGGTCGTTCTTGCTATTTTAGTTGCAAGCAATGGTACTTGACACCCGAGACTCGATTATTCATTTTATTATTAAATATTTAAATCTCGCTGGGGTTTTAATAAATTTAAATCTCTTTCATCCGACTGTCTAGCCAGAGAGTCGGCTATCGAAATGTCATGCGAATAAATGTCTCAATAACGATCTATATAACATTTAAACATGCATTATGCAAGAGCAAAATCTGCTGATTACAAGTCTTTCTTTAGGCCTGAAATGTTACCTAAATTATCAATTAGACATTAATTAACTTATCCAGACCATAATAAACTCTCGATATCAAAGCTAGCCTTCGATGTAGGCTGGATTAGATTCCTTTATGCCGCTAAGGGCCAAAGATAATTAAATCAGAAAAAATGGATAATCGAGACTATGCTGTTTATATTAATGATTTTAGTATTGATAACCGAGACTATGCAAAAATTTCACCGGCTTCTTTCTCGGCTCATAGTGGATCAATTTGACTGAAATTTTCAGCAAATTACCTTTACACTATCTAGTTTTTAACTATTATAGCGAGAACTGCCATCTCGTTATCTTATCTCCCATAATGTATCTTTAAAGTAGCGAAGTCTCTAACTCAATATCATCCAAATTCTTCGACATTGAAAACACGATTTATTTGTCAATTTAAATCAACATTGATGTTGTGATTTTACCTGGAAAAGATGAGCTTCTGATATCCAATATTAAGACAAAATAAACAATTTACCAATGGTACACGCATCCTGAACCATAATGCGTTTCAGGCCCATTTTTATCAAGGGACTCGAAGAACGAGGCTAGGCATATCTAACAAGTCATGTCAAACAGTGACGGCATATTCATACCTGGAGAGTATGCGCAATAAATACTATGTAGACTAGAAAAACCAGACGCTAGAGATTGTCATTCGATTGAGAAATCTGGTGTATTTCGCCGAACATAAGTGATTTGAAATTAGAGTAAAAATGGAAACGATTGAATGTAAAGCAGTTTATATACATTCACATTACATTATTATATGCGTTGCAACCCATTTGTCTCGATTTCTAGGTCCCAAATATTAGCGATTTAGCCCCTTTAAAGCCAAAATAGAGACCTGCGACAGGCAAATCTAGCACGTACATAATGTATCTTTAATCTGAAAAATTATTCACTTTTGACTTGACAAAAGTATGGAAATTGGCATAAAGGTCTAAGAATTGAATTGTGTGTTTTCGGTAACTACACTTGACAATATGGCAATGAAAGTCTGGTGAATGAAGTAGGTGCTAAAACACAGATTTGGACACGAAGATCAATATTCTATCCATCTTCAATAGAAGTCTTGATCTTGCTTTAACTACGTACATCTTATCAAGGCCTTCACGTAATACCCTACATATTTCAGCACTAATTTCGATTGGGTACAAGCCAACTTGTGAGCCTATCAGATTCCTCGATCATCGCGAATACCATGTCTAGGGCTTTCCAGCTAAAATGTCTACCTGTGATAATCGAGTTGCAAATTTCATGATTCGTTCAATGTCAAGGTCTCCGTGGAGGTCGCTATGTCGCAACCTCTGATTGGACGCTACTGTTCACGTGTCTGCAGATAACGTAACTATAAATTTGGGAATTGTAAAGTAATCTAGCAACGTCCAGATGTTGTGAAACTCGCAGTCGTTGCTTCAGGTACATGTATTCTATCACATTGTAAAGCTAAAATAGCCGAAATCCCATATTTTAACGGATGGCCTTTGACAATTAACTTTATGAATTTATTTCAGTGTATATTTAAATCTTTGTAATTTCAATTCTTATGTTTTTATAGGCTATGTATTAAATCAATCTGATTATAATACAGATCTATATTTCGTTTCGTTTTTTATACTTTCGATGGCCTACACTACATGAAGATCTGACTAGTTGTAGAGGTTGGTCGCGTCAGGGTTCATACGAATGGCTTTTGACCCTATGACGTCAGACATTGAATAATCAATCAGCGTTGAAGTTTCTAGTGGTTTACCCACAGTTCCGTGCACAGCACGCCAAGAACTCGCCATGACAGATCGTTTCATTGGCTAAACCCTCACATTAACCAGAACTCGAGTTATATAATAACTCTTCCAGATACTAGTGTAGTTAAGACAAGTAAAACGAAATTTTGGACTATAAAAAACGAAATGAAATATGATCTGTGTTTTAATTAGATTGTCTGAGTAGCATTCTCAAATCTGTTTTACAGGTGTAAAGGGGGATAACTGCGGCGTGACGTGGCATAAATATTATTTCAATTGTCCGCAAATTATCGAATACTCGTTGCAGTAATTATACCGATGTGTTGCTATTTGACGATATTAGGTTGTTATTTGGTAGTATTTGATAAGTATTTAGTAGTATTTGGTTATTATTTGCTTATTTTGGGGTGATATAGGGAGGCACATGGAACAGCCAGGCATAGTTAATGGCATTTGAAGTACATTTCCCGCGATATAACTTACTATTTTTGGAATAAAATCAAGTAATATGCTCAATACGAAATATTGAGTTCTATATAATAATTAGTAACGATTCATAGTGAGTTCCATATAATGTTTAGTAACATGTTCAATGATAAACATGTTCAATGTAAAATATTGAGTTGTATATGGTATTTAGTAACGTGTTCAATGATAAACACGTTCAATGTAAAATATTGAGTTTTATATGGTGTTTAGTAACATCTTCAATGATAAACATGTTCAATGTAAAATATTGAGTTTAATATGGTATTTAGTAACATGTTTAATGATAAAAAAATGAGTTCTATATAATATTTAATAACATGTTCAATGATAAAAAATGAGTTCTAAATAATATCTAATAGCACCTTCAATGATAAATATTAAGTACTATGTAATATTTAATAGCACGTTCAATGACAAATATTAAGTTCTATATAGCACGTTCAATGATAAATATTAAGTACTATGTAACATCTAATAGCAAGTTTTACATGTTTTAATGCAGTACACCTCTCTCATTAACTTGTTGTGCTTGCAGTAGTTGAGTTTAGCCCAGTAATTACAACTTGAAGCAAATTTTTTATCATCGTCACAAGGCACTGAAATAATAAAATACAATATACAATCGGTCATTCATGACTTAATACTTTTACTGCTCTGTATAATTTGAATGAATGAACGAATGAAGTGGAATTTAGGACATTTGCCCGGACAGCAAGGTTTTTTTTTACTTGTACGCCAACGTTTACACAGGTCCACGGATACAACTCTATTGATCTTACGACTCCAGGACCAGATACAGCCCTACTGAACTTATGGCCTCGGGACCAGATACAGCCCTACTGAACTTACGGCCCCAGGATCAGATACAACCCTACTGAACTTACGGCTCCAGACAACTGTCCTGAACTTACGACCCCGGGTCCAGACAATACTACACAACTCTCCCGAACTAACACTTCATGAGCATAATCGTTAAGTGGCATTTAGTGATTGGGGAACACGATAACAGAACACAATTTTTATGGGAAACAATCACTGGTTTTATTCTAAAACCACGACGTTTCGACAAGTATCCTCTTGTCGTTATCAAGTCGTGCTTTTAGAATAAAACCAGTGATTGTTTCCCATAAAAATTGTGTTCTGTTACTTCATGAGCAGAAAATAAACAAACCTGAAGTTGCTTGTAAATTCTGTGGCTGTGCCCATGGGTTACACTGGTTGCATGTTTTGGGACAGGATATTCTGACTGCTTGGTTGGTAGAACAGCTATGCTTCCAACTGCTACAGCTGTCTAAACGATCCGCACACGCAGCAGTTGAAGACGGGCTTTTACTCGGAGCAGGAGGAGTTGTTGTTGGGGGCTTCTCCGTGATTATTCTTGGCTTTGGCTTTGGCTTTGGTGTTGGTGTCTTTGTAGGAATGTCATACACGGATTTACACAATAAACGATCACATCTGAATCCAGCTGGACATTTAGTACAAGATGGACCTGTCTCAAAGGGATAAAATCCCATTATGTTACCTCTGAAATAAAATCATGAATTATTGACAAGATGTTTATTATGTGGCAGCAAATGAAATGCTGTGTTGGCGCCAGTTCATAGAAATGAAATGTGATTTAACATCCAACTGTTATGCTCCAACTGGGCTAATGCAGACGAGCATACGTCATATAATGTGCTATGGGGAAAATTGTGGCCGGATAGCAGCGCTACGGACAACTCTTAATATCGAATTACAACTGAAAAGAATGCTTTTACATGCACGCCAATGTGTACACGGTACATCGGTTTTCGTCCCATCCGAACGACTATACGTTGTCACTGACAAGGGGGAACTACGCCAGAACCTCCCGAGGCACTTTCTCGGACAACACCTTGAGCGAACTCTAGACCTCCGGGCTATTACTCACTGAGCAACAACACCTCCATAGAGGCTAAGAGAGGAATCATTCAAAGTTCGTGGAGACATTATAAGGTAGACAGCATGTAGCAGTTTTAGAAGTTCAAGGCTCGTGGAACTTGATAAGCTTTCAAGTGTGCGTAACGTTAAAAAACACAACGTGAAGTCAAGAATGCGGAGAAACCCTACAAGGCTAGGCAGGTGACAATGCTCCTTGACACGTCCAAGCGAGAAATCGACATCAGCGACAGACCTTAGGATCTAAATCGCACGCATCGGCTTTAAAACGCAACATACAAGCAGACAGACTTACTCCTTACTTTTGGTAATAGTAGCAAGCCATGAAAAATGTGTCCTTCACCAATCGGCCTTTATCATAGAGTAATTCACATCGTTTAGCAGCACAGCCAACCGTTGTTGTGTTACCCCAGACCATCTGAAAGCACACAATTAAAGATACATTATGGGAGATTAGATAAAGAACTGGCAGTTCTCACTTGATTAGTTAAAAACTAGATAATGTAAAGGGAATTTCCTAAATATTTCAGCCAAATTGATCCACTAATAATATTTTAGCGATTGAATTTTGAGCCTAGCCTCGATCATCATTACTAAAGTCTGTACGATAAAATACATAGTCTCGATTATCCATTTTTTTTATTTAATCATGATTGAGCGTTGAGTAGCAGATCGGATTATAATCCAGTAAATATCGCAGGTTAGCGATGCCATCTAGAGTTGATTATGGTCTGGATAAGTTAATTAATGTCTAAAGTAAGGAATTTAAAACAAAATCATGCTTGCAAATGTCTTAACTGTCAGTCGCCTAAATTGCCGTGAATGCTGTCCTTGATCTGAGTAGTTTCTTATGAGACCGAGTGGAACCGATGAGCTCATAACACGTTTCCGCCTTGTACGGGACTAACGGGTGCCGGAAGCGGCACACCCAGCCGGCTTAAGCTCAGCACGCCACACAATAAAACATACCTTACTCATTACGAGAAAATCCAACTCCTTGTCAAGTACAACCGGGGAATCGAAACCACGCCAGTTGACTCAATGACATACCTTATGATACAGCGCGCACGCTAACCACTCGGCCTAGACCCATAAATTTTGTAGAACATACCTGTGTATAGTGGCAAGCAGATCCACAATCGCCATTAGTCCAGCGCCATGTTGACCTTTCCTCGTGCCAATCATCCAAACCTGCTAATATCAAATCCCTTGTGTTCTGTTTGTAGTTGCTATAGAATATATTTTCGCCTCTTTCGCCATTTTGATGTTCAAATCTACATCTGTCGACCCAATGAGCGGCTTCGTTAGCTAATCTGTCACTCCAAACCTTTTAAAAGAGAGAGAGAGAGAGGGAGAAATGGGGTTTTACGTCCACTCGACATAAACTAGGTCATTTCGGGTCTAACATATGGTTTAATTTTATTTCAACAAGTCGCTTGCGCGTAGGGGTCTTTAGCAGTGGGAGGAAACCGGAGGACCCGGAGAAAACGAACGAGGTTGGACAGGCGACCCTACTCCTTGCCACGTGCAACCGGGGATTCGAAACCACGCCAGTTGACTCAATGACAGGCCTTATGATTACAGCACGCACGTGCTAACCATTCGGCCATCAAACCCCCCAACCTTTTAAAAAATACAGCATTCAAATTATAACTTAAAATATTCATGAGACAAAAAATAATAGCTGAATTATTTAACCGGGCGTACTATTTGAACTAGGAACAAAGAAGACGCCATAACAGCCATCTTGGAATTGTGACGTCATATCCAAAAATCTAAGTCAGTCAATAGAAGCACAATGGGATTCGTTCAAAAAGCTACGACTTAGTTGTTGCTGTTACTAAGGGGCGAGCCCTGGAGCACCCACCTCTATCCTGTATTGATAAAAATAATGGGTTTATATGCCCGCAAGGGATCGTTTTTCTTATGCAGATACAGTGATCAATAAAGTATTATTGACAAGCAACAGGGAGCTATGACCATCCGGCGAATTTTTTTTAGTGACGAGACCCGGGTTTTGGTGCCCCCACCGGATCTTCTTCCTGGTGCAAATACAGCAATCAACATGGACTTACTCACCAATCTGTTCATATTGGCAGCATATTCTGTTGTTCTGAAGTCGTTGTGTTGGTAAACGATGACGTCCTTATACATGTTAAGATCAATTATATTACCATTACATATCACAATAATACAACACAAACTTAACACAAATCTGAAATATACATCATAATGTTACCGTTACATCACAAACTTAACACAAATCTGAAATATACATCATAATGTTACCGTTACAACACAAACTTAACACAAATCTGAAATATACATCATAATGTTACCGTTACATCACAAACTTAACACAAATCTGAAATATACATCATAATGTTACCATTACAACACAAACTTAACACAAATCTGAAATATACATCATAATGTTACCATTACAACACAAACTTAACACAAATCATTACCATTACATATCACAATAATACAACACAAACTTAACACAAATCTGAAATATACATCATAATGTTACCGTTACATCACAAACTTAACACAAATCTGAAATATACATCATAATGTTACCGTTACATCACAAACTTAACACAAATCTGAAATTTAGGTGATTATGTTACCGTTACAACACAAACTTAACACAGATCTGAAATATAGATCATTGTGTTACCGTTACAACACAAACTTAACACAGATCTGAAATATAGATCATTGTGTTACCGTTACAACACAAACTTAACATCAATCTGAAATAAAGATCATTATGTCACCGTTACATATCACAAACTTAACACAAATATGAAATATACGTCAATATATTACCATAACATATCACAAAATGGTGTACCAATGGTAAAAATTTTATTTTGTCTTAAATATTGGATATCAGAAGCCCATTTTTCCCAGTAGGATCACAATATCAATGATGTTGATTTAAATTGACAAACAAGTCGTGTTTTCAATGTCGAAGACTTTGGAGGATATTGAGTTAGAGACTTAGCTACTTTAATGTTGTTGTTCTTAGTGTTTAACGTCCGCTTCCACCGAAGGTGATATCGCAGGGGTCTTTCCTGTGGGAGGAAACCCGAGTACCCGGAGTAAACCCACCAGGTTGAGAAGGCTCCCTACTATCTCAAAGCCACATATACACTCACAACAGGGAACGAAACGACAACCGCAAGCCAGAGGTGACCGGCCAGCTAGAGGTCGAGGTCCCCCCTCCCCTCCCCAGCTACTTTAATGTCAACAACTTGCCTTTATTTTGTAACACAGGAGATACACGTGTAAACATATTATTACCCCAAATTGTATTATTAATATTAATAATGAATTATAATAATAATTTATTGAACTTGTAGAGCGCCAAAATCCAGCTCGTAGACCTGCATCTGTGGCGTTTGTACAAAAAAAAATATATGATTATAAGTACTCAATGCAAAACAATATATGATAAAAAAAATTACAATTAAAATATATCAACAATTTATCATAAAAAAAAATTATAATTAAAATATATCAACAATAAATCATAGAAAAAAAAAATTAAAATTAAAATATTAGGGTGTAACTGTTTTATTAGAATTTTTTCTTAACGATCGGAAAAACAATATAATTATTAATTTTTTAAACAATGGCAATTCTAGAAGCTAAAGTACTTAATATTATGCAATTGACATGATTTCCCATGTCATATATATGCATTGTAACTTTAATGAGGCCAAAGATTAGATGAATATAACACCCTACATCCGCTCGTTTACATGAGTCGGTTGTTATTCTGACCACAGTGTTTGTAATCGCATTATACGATTTAAAGGGGAGAGAGAGAGAGAGAGAGAGAGAGAGTGTCTTCTTTTAGTTCTCAAAGAGGGAGAGAGGGAGGGGGGCGGGGTTTAACGTCCACTTGACACAAACTAGGTCATTTGGGTACTAACATATGGTTCAATTTTATTTCAATAATTCAAATAATTCAGCAGTGGGAGGAAACCGGAGGACCCGGAGAAAACCCACGAGGTTGGACTGGTGACCCTATTCCTTGTCACGTACAACCGGGGAATCGAAACCACGCCAGTTGACTCAATGACAGACCGTGTAATACAACACGTACGCGCTAACCATTCAGCCATTCAAACCCCACGATATGTAACATATCGTCCGTGGGGAGTCAAAAGGTTGTATCTGGATTTTGCAAAATTGTCCAGTAGAGCCAAAAATCGCATGGAGGTTACAAACATCACGTCAAAATGTTGTAGGTCCCGTTTGTTTTAAAGACTTGTAAGCTTGTGTGGACTGGGTTTGTAAAAGAGAGAGAGAGAGAGAAATGGGGTTTAACGTCCACTCGACACAAACTAGGTCATTTCGGGACTAACACATGGTTCAATTTTATTTCAATAATTCGCTTGCGCGTAGGGGTCTTTAGCAGTGGGAGGAAACCGGAGGACCCGGAGAAAACCCACGAGGTTGGACAGGCGACCCTACTCCTTGTCACGTACAACCGGGGATTCGAAACCACGCCAGTCGACTCAATGACAGACTTTATGATACAGCGCGCGCACGCTAACCATTCAGCCATCCACCCCCCACCCCCCGTTCATATTGGACTGTTCGAGTATTTCATTACACATAATTGATTAGAAATTACAATAATATTTTTAAAAATTGAATATAAATCACTTTATATACATTTAGGCCTATTTTCGTCTATTTTAAGGTCCCGAAGAATAGACTCACACGCCCTTTAAATAGGCCACAGTTCAATGTAACAATGTATTTTGTAATTTGATAAACACAAAAGCATGATATAGAACACAATTACTACTGCAATTTAAAGCGATCTTTCGCTGTGGATCCTCACAAAGTTATCAAGCAAATGTATTTTGCCTTTCAAAATAGGGGGGTTGGATGGCTGAATGGTTATCACATGCGCGCTGTACCATTGAGTCAACTGGCGTGGTTTCGAATCCCCGGTTGTACGTGGCAACCTCGTGGGTTTTCTCCGGGTCCTCTGGTTTCCTCCCTCTGCTAAAGACCCCTACGCGCAAGCGAATTATTGAAATAAAATTAAACCATATGTTAGTCCCGAAATGACCTAGTTTATGTCGAGTGGACGTTAAACCCTCTTTCTCTCTCTCTCTCTCTCTCTCTCTCAAAATATGACCAGGTGAAACTCATTACCCCATGCAATCTTCTAAGAGAGGGAGGTGTGGGTGGGTGGGTGGGGGGTAGAGAGAGGTGTGGGTGGGGGGTGGGGGGTAGAGAGAGGTGTGGGTGGGTGGGTGGGGGGGTAGAGAGAAAGAGATTTAAAGTTGGTCTACATCCACCGTTTATTTCAATAAATATTTACATATTACAAAAGTAGACTATGTAATTGTGGAATTTAAAAACAAACCGGAGCTTATATAAATTTATCTCCCCACTTGAACCAAACTATGTCATTTCGGGACTATCATAATAGGGTACAATTTTACTTTATTTCAATAATTCGCTTCCGTGTAGGGGTCTTTAGCTACAGGGGGACCAGGAGAACACCAAGCGTGGGCTCGAAACCATGTCACTTGATGCAATGACACACCAACTGATCTACATTCACCCGACCCCCCTAAATTTCTGAAAATAGACAGTTCGCAACAATAAACTGATTTACTACAATTTCCGAGCGGAAGATAAGATAACCCGGCATGGCCAGTACCCCTATGAATAATCTGTTATTGTCTGTATTTGTTTCTGACAAAGACAGCTGTCTAGTCGTTCGGATGGGACGAAAACCCGAGGTCCTGTGTATACATTGGTGTGCACGTAAAATATCCCTTGACAGTTGGAATTCGATATAAGGGTAGGCCATATTACTGCTGCCCGGGCACAATTTCCCTCATAGCACACTGTACGACGTAATATGTCCGTCTTCATTAGCCCAGTCGGAGCAGAACAGTAGGACGTTAAAGATCTTTATATTTTAAAGTTATTTATATTTTATGTCATAGATATTTATATTTTATGTCATAGATATTTATATTTTAAAGATATTTTATAGATATTTTATAAATATATATAAACATGTATTTAGATTGCATATTTATGATGACGTCACATCTGTATTTTAAACATATTTATATTTCATGTTATAGATATTTTACAAATATTCATATGTGATAGATATTTATGCGTAATATTTTATAGATATTTATATTTTATAGATATTTATACATTTATATATATTAATATTTTATGGAAATTTATATTTTATTGATATAGAATATTTATACATTCTATAGAAAATTATATTTTATGCATATTTTTATTTTATACATATTTGGGGGGGGGGGGGGCGAGTGGTTAGCACGTGGGCGTTGCATAATAAGGTCTGTGAAAGAGTCACCGGGCGTGGTTCTGATTCCCCGGTTGTACGTGGCAAGAAGTAGGGTCGCCAGTCCAACCTCCGGTTTTCTCCCACTGCTAAAGACTCACAAGCGCAAGCGAATTGTTGAAATGAAATTGAACTATATGCTAGTCCCGAAATGACCTAGTTTGTGTCGAGTGGAGTTAAACTCTCTAAAATCTTCGACATTCAAAACACGAATTATTTGCCAATTTAAATAAACATTGATGTTGTGATCTTACCGGGAAAAGATGGGCTTCTGATATCCAATATTTAAGACAAAATAAACATTTTACGATTGGTACACGAGTCGTGTACCATAATGCGTTTCAACGCAATTTGTAATAAGCGACTTGGAAGAACGAGGTTAGACATATTCCACAAGTCATGTCAAACGGTGACCCCCATATTCTTCTATGAAGAGCATGTCCAATAAATACTATCGGTGTAGACTGGAATAACTAGACGCTAGAGATTGCCATTCGATTGAGACTTCTGGCGTATTTCGCCGGTCATAACTGTTTTGAAATTAGAGTAAAAAAGGAAACGATTGAATGTAAATAATTTTTTTTACATTCATATTGCATTATTATATGCGTTGCAGCCCATTTGAGACAATTTTTAGATCCCAAATATTAGCGATTTAGCTCCTTTAAATATTTATTTTTGATACTTTGTAAAGCGCATGCTTGTTTGTAATAATAATGACAACATTCCTGTATTATATATACATCCTTGTTATCTCATGTAAACGAATGTTAATAGTTACATAATTTATTCAGAATCACATCCCTTTATTTTTAAACCTGATCACACGCTATATTTTTCAAACATGAAATATAATATTTGTGATACATAGGTAAATTCTGAATTTTTAAATTCTGAAATGGTTAAAACATTTAAGAGATGTGAACATCCTATTCAACTAATAATATTAGTTATCATAAAAACATTGTGCACGGTATTCACTGGATTTCTGAAATTTGAAATGGCATGAGTTTTTAAAATAAGATTGTAAATAATATAACACGTATATTTATCTAGTAATCGCAATTAAATATATATTTATGTGTGTCTGTCAAAGGGGATCATGTGGCTAAGTGGGTAAGACGCTGGCTCGCTAGCCTGGAGGTCGGGTGTTCGATCCCTGCATTGGCCAAGAAAGTGCATCCCGATTTTCCGGCGTGGTTCCCCCTTGTCAGTGATGCAGGACGGAGGGCCTGACAAGGACAGCTGTCTAGTCCTTCGGATGAGACGAAAAACCGAGGTCCAGTCTATACATGCACGTAAAAGATCCCTTGGCAGTTGGAATTCGATATAAGAGTAGGCGATAGTGCCGCTACCCGGGCAACATTTCCCTCATAGCACACTGTATGGCGTATGCCGGTCTTCATTTCCCAGTAGAACAGTAGGACGTTAAACCCCATTTCATTTCATTTCCGTGTTTGTCAAATATATTCACGTTTTTGTGTCAAATATATCCACGTGTTAGTGCCAAATATGTCTACGTGTTGGTGTCAAATATATCCACGTGTTAGTGTCAAATATATCCACGTGATAGTGTCAAATATAACCACGTGTGAGTGTCAAATATAACCACGTGTGAGTGTCAAATCCACGATTTGGTGTCAGTGCGGTTATTAAACGATATATCGTGAATGGGATACAAATAAAAATGGCACATTAGAAATGAAAATGAGTCTGGTTTAAAGTCCTACTCTTCTGCTCCGACTGGGCTAATGAAGATGAGCATTTGCCATACAGTTTGCTATGAGGGTTATTTCGCTAATTCTGTGGCTCTCTATTCCTTGGAACTCTCGTCGTCAAGGGCTCTTTTACGTGCATGTTAACGTGTACACGGGACTTCGGTTTTCATTCCATCCGAACGACTATACGTTGTCCTTATACCCTCTGTCCTGCACCACTGACAAAAGGGAACAACGTCGGAAAATTCCGATGAGCATTCGCGACCAACACCGGGGTCGAACACAGTACCTCCAGTTTAACGAGCCAACGTCTTCTCACTTAATCTTATCAACCAATCAGCTATTTTAAATCATATAAAAATAATCAGAACACCTACCTATCTATCGTGCACCGGTGAAACATCCTTTTGCTTATATTGCAGACTAGTTTGGTGACCTTGTCTAACACAAATAAAAAGATTAACTAGTTCACTGGTCCCCGTGTTCAGTTAACGTGGGCATTAATAACACATATAATATGTCATTTACATATGTAACACAAAAATGCATCTGTTACGTTCACACACAGCAATCTTATCTGAGTGGTTTACTTTACTTTTATTTCTATGCCAATTGTTCTACTTGGATTAATTAATTATTTATTTATTTAAACCATGCTTCCAAAATACAAGGACGTGGTTAAACAGTTTCTGGTTACAAAAAAGGAAATGAGACCGAGAACGTGCAGAAAGGAAGTCAAACATGAGAAGATATTTCTTAATTATGAAAAACGACCGGAAGTAGAACGAGTTTGTGTGAATGACCAATTTAAGAAATGCGTAGTTAAAAAGAAAGTTTGGAATTCGTTAGTTCGTTTATCAGTGTTAACCACACTAATTCAGGTTCGGAGGAGGAGGGGGGGGGTCCAACCCGCACCTTGCTGAGCTACATAGCAAAAATTGTAAAACAACATTTTATGAGAAAAGTGTAACGGTCGGGTTCTTTATCCTTTATCATCAGATGGTGGGATGGGATGGACATTCAAAGCGCGAGATAATGATATAGACATATGTGATAACCACAATTAATGTTTTGCATCAATGAAATTGAACCACAATATGATTCTATTAATTCATTATAAAAATTGACATCAAACGGGGAGTTGGATTTCACTCTTTGAAAAGCTCAATGCATATGTATGCCTACGTAATTTAGAGACGATAATGGCAGCATGAATTGTCAACTGTCAAATTTCCTTAACAGGAGTCCGGCAAACCCCCTCTTGCAAAAATTCCTGGATCCGCCCCTGTAATTATAGTACAGACTTTAATATAAACTATGAATAAAGATATATTCCTTTGATATCCGACACAGTAATTATAAATATGACCACTGAGTGGGACACAGATTCAAACTACCCAAAATGGACGCAGTAGATGACCTGTAGCCTATGACAGAGTTGAGTGCAAGGCAGTGTCAGAGGATTATACACACATCATACATACACCCACGATGGCCAGAATAAAACGCTGTGTTTCTCTCAGATGATACCTAATTTGTTGGTTTCGGTTGCCATTCCTTCATGTTCTTATTGTTTAGCATGCGCTAGGACATCTTCCTGAAGCAACGACCGCGAGTTTTACAACATCTAGTAAAGGCGAGATCAAGCCTTTTATTGAAGATGGCACTAGGACTACAAAGATTTAATATTTATGTGAACTCCTTGGTGGTATATCCCTTGCCAGTTGAAGCAGGGCGGATGACCTGGCAAAAGGACGAAAAACAGAGGTCATGTGTACACATTGTCGTCCACGTATATATCCATTGACAAGTGGACAAAGTTTCATCATAGCCCACTGTGTTGTGTATGCCAGTCTTCATTAGCCCAGTTGGAGCAGAACAGGAGGATGCCAAACCCCATTACATTTCATTCATTTCTTTACACGTCTACAGTGCGGCTCTCCTACGTCTTGTCTGCGATATCATTTCTGTGGAAGCAGACGTTAAAGCACCAGGTAGTAGTAGTCGTTGTAGTAGTAGATTAACCAATGGGAATGACTGAACCCAGACTTCGATTAGAGGAGGGAATCTAAATGCAATAGAAATTGAATTAAAATTAAATATAATTAAAGTACAGGTGTCAAAGAATTACAACTTTAACCAATAGCAATGACGTAATCCCGACTTCAGTTACAAGGGCGTGGATTTGTCATTTGCCATAACTTTTTTTTTGGGGGGGGGGGGCGGGCGGACGAACCCTGGAACCTGGAACAGTTTACTGTACAGTGTTATTTCGATGAAAGCTGTAACTGTGGGTATTGACTACCAACATCAAAGCTGCACAAATATTAATTGTTTATGAAGTTAAGCGAATCGTCCAAAGACGTTCTCGAATCCCCGGTTGTACGAGACAAGGAGTAGGGTCGCCTGTCCAACCTCGTGGGTTTTCTCCGGGTCCTCCGGTTTCCTCCCACTGCTAAAGACCCCTACGCGCAAGCGAATTATGGAAATAAAATTGAACCATATGTTAGTCCCGAAATGACCTAGTTTGTGTCGAGTAGACGTTACCCCCTCTCTCTCTCTCTCTCTCTCTCTCTCTCTCTCCAAAGACGTTCATTCTGCTTTGGGTCCTGATCATGAAGGAGGTCATTATGCACCGCACACACCATTAGGTGGTTCAGTCGTTTTTGCGTCATGGAGTTACGCAGCCAAGTTTTTATACGGAGCAGAGTTGTCATTATTTCTATTGTGCTTTTTTCAGTTTAACTTGATTTTTGTTTACCTACTCAGTTTCTTTTTCATAATTTACCTGTTTCTATTCGTAGATCATGAGGGGGGGGGGGCGGATGGCTGAATGGTTAGCGTGCGCGCGCTGTATCATAAAGTCTGTCATTGAGTCGACTGGCGTGGTTTAGAATCCCCGGTTGTACGTGACAAGGAGTAGGGTCGCCTGTCCAACCTCGTGGGTTTTCTCCGGGTCCTCCGGTTTCCTGCCACTGCTAAAGACCCCTACGTACGCGCAAGCGAATTATTGAAATACAATTAAACCATATGTTAGTCTCGAACTGGCCTAGTTTGTGTCGAGTGGACGTTAAACCCCATTTCTCTCTCTCTCTCTCGTAGATCATGAAATATAGTCACCTCGAGCTGAAGGGAAGGCGTTGTTTTTTGATTGGTTGATTTATTATTTTGATTGACCGCTGCGATCGGTCATTTAAGGAGGAAGATATTGTGAAGATCAGTAACTGTGGCGAGACCCAAGGCAGTGGTTAGATAGCTTCATGTGGATATAATCCTAAAAATCTGTCCTGGTGATCAAAATCATGGAGGGGACAGAGACCTATTCGTCCCCAACCCCCTTCCGATTCTCTCTTTCTCTCTGTCTTATCTCTCTCGCCCACTCTTCCATGATATAACAAGGGAAATAACTCCAATTTAGAACATTTTTTTTTTTAAATTTTATGAGCAGCCAATTTAATTTGATTTCTAGATCTATAACTCATAAAAAGAGTTTGAATTTACATATTTTCATTTTATACAAGATTTCTGTGTGGAATGATTAAGATTCAAAATAAATGAAATGAAATGAGGTTTAACGTCCTACTATTCTGCTCCGACTGTGCTAATGAAGACGGACAAACGCCATACAGTCTGCTTTGAGGGAAATTTTGCCCGGCCAGTGGCACTATGGTCTACTCTTAAATCGAATTCCAACTGCCAAGGGATCTTTTACGTGCACGCTAATGTATACACAGGGCCTCGGTTTTTCGTCCCATCCGAACGACTAGAGGGTTGTCCTTGTCAGACCCTCCGTCTTGCACCACTGACAAGGCGAAAGCACGTTGGAAAATCCCCATGAACTTTCTCAGCCAATGCAGGGATCTAACACGCGACCTCCAGGCTACTGAGCCAGTGTCTTACCCACTTAACCACCGTGGTGCTGGACGGAGGAACCTGGCAATGAACAACGTATAGTCGTTCGAGTGGTACGAAAAACCGAGGTCCGGGCAAAATGTCCCTCATGACATACATGTAGGCCTATGTCCGTCGTCATTAGACCCTTACATTTCATATAAGGCGGAGGAAGAAGATAAGAAAATAGTAGACGTACTCCACTCGGCAAACCTCAGCAGATTCCAGTACCCTACATCATTCTAGCTAGATGTAAAGTAACCGAATCTGCCGAGGTTTGCCGAGTGAGACGTACTCATGATAAAGGGAGATAACTAGTACAAGACAACGGGTGTAGACCACCATTAATTACCCAATGACTTTAACGTCTATTCTGGTCTCTTTGCCTGGCTCCAACTTTTCCCCAAATGTCGTTGGTCTGAACGCTTTTCACTACAGACAGAGCAATAACTGACCAGGTCCAAAGATTGTGTATGATTGACCACGGAAATTTTTAGTTACAAATCCACATCTAAACCAGGAATATTTGCCAAAATCAGACCTAAAAATCAACAAAAATGGCTACACAAAAGTTTAAGAGGGAATACTAATATTGGAATAATGGCATATTTAATGGTGATCTGACTCCAACGTTCTGCAACATAAACTCGATTAAATATACGCTAGCTTATCGATTTTTGCTATAAAATAAACACAAAATATGTTTTATGTCTGAAGAATGGTATAATGGTAGTCTGACTCCAACGTTCAGCAACACAAGCTTGACATATTATACGCTAGTCGATCGATTTTTAGAGAAAAATAAACTGAAATATGTGGAAATGTTAGGTTTGTGTTCATCGTATTGAATAGTAAATGGATGTGTATTAGACTGATTGTATTTATTATATCAGATTTATCTCGAATAATTTGATCACACATTCAGTATTATTATATATCGATATTCCTACAACTACACGACATGTATTTGAAGCAGCATGGCAAATCGATTCTCAGCTTGTATAAAATACGTTCAAGGGAACCAAATAAACTAGTTCTTTTTCACCGCGTGGTTTCGATTTCCCGTTTGTGCGTGAGTAGAGTCGCCTGTCCAAATGAAATAAAATGGAACCATATGTTAGTCCCGAAATGACCTAGTTTGTGTCGAGTGGACGTTAAGGCCCACCAAACTCTCTCTCTCTCTCTCTCTCTCTCTCTCGGGGATGGCCGATTCTAATATATTAGACATCAATTTGGAGATGTGACTGTCAACCTCATTATTCAAGTCGGTAAATGTGAGGATAAGTATATAGTACATGCAAGCAACAGTATGACCTTCTTAATGAGATGTAGTAACAGTGACCTAATACCTAAAGGCTTAATTGTTAACCTTCCTTGCATACCATTGGATAGTACACACTCATTTTTGTATATATATATATATATTCATATTTTGCTCATATTATTTTATCTATTTGTGTATATGCTTGATAACGACTTGTGAAATGTTGTTGAAACGTCGCACTGAAATAAACCATAGTTATTGTTATTCCATAAAACTGTGTTATTTGATTATATGTTCCAATTACTAAATGCCATTCAAAGAATAAATCAGAAACGTTATAATAATATACTCTGGCGTGGTTTTCCCATTGTCGACTGCCTAGTTGTTCGGATAAAACGAAAAACTGAGGTCCCGTGTACACATTGACGTGCACGTAAA